AACTTCAAAACACCAAATTACCCTCGAATTCAAGCATAGGAACTTCTAAACTTTTAAATTCCGCAAACGAAGCCGAAACCTACCAAACCATTCCGATTGACCTCAAATTTTACACACAAACCATATTCAACATTACAGACCTACTCTAACTTCCGGAATCGGAATCCGACCCCGATATCAAAAAGTCAACCCCCCGGTCAAACTTTCCAAAAATTCGACTTTCGCTATTTCAAGCCTAAATTAGCTACAAGTCTCAAATTCACAGTCCGGACACGCTCCTAAGTACAAAATCACCCAACGGAGCTAACAAAACCGACAGAACTCCATTCCTGAGTCGTCTTCACATACTTCCGATTACGGTCAAAATTCTGAGAATTAAGCTTCCATTTTAGGGACTAAGTGTCCCGAAATACTCCGAAACCAAAACAAGACCTCCCAGCAAGTCACCTAAGCAAAAATAGATACGGGGAATGTAGTAAATATCGGATCGGAGCTAATACGCTCAAAACGACCGGCCGGGTCATTACACTGAGCACTTGCGCGCATGTTTTTTTATTGAGCAGATCAATATTCTTCATTTTCAGGTTTATACTTTTATATTCAATTTTTATTTTATAAGTCAAACATGTTATTCAATCATATTTATATAATTTTTAAAATAGTGTATTCGTTGATATAAGGGACACGCGCAAAGTGCGTACACTAAGACTAGTTAGTTAAATAAGATTCTAACCATGATTAGAATAAAAAATATTTCATATTTACTCCCTAAAAATTTGGCATTCTCATAATTCTAGCTACACTTTTCTCATCCATAAATATACTCCATTATTTTTCAAAGTTTTAACCTTTCTATTGACTATATATTCCACTCTATCCCTTCTCTTGACTATATATTTCATCTGCTACGAAAGATTTTGAGAATCAATAATGCACGAGATCAAGTTTGCAAAAATGTAATTAATATGACATATTTAAAATTTGAAAACTTTGTCGTTGGTCTAACCAAATACAAAAAACTGTACTCAAATTCCATAAGCTATAAAATTGTCAATATCTTGATCATTGGCATCACTAATTACAGTCAACATTAATCGGATCCATGAGAAACAGAACAAAAAATACAATACAATGTCAATCATTTATCAAATGTGCATAATAACCCGTGATGTTAGGCTAAAAATTCATGTTTTCGCATGTAATTTGCCTTGCATTATACTTCAATTTTATTAACTTTCGTGTAAATATTTGTGACTCGAGCTTAATAATGGTGTTTATATGTGTAAGAATCAATTTAAAGCGATTTGGCAAGCTTGCATGCAAAGTGAAGTAAAAATAGAAGAATTTGGAGGGAGTATGAGTTTGGCGCCCAGGTTGGTACCATGCACCAACCAAAACACCAAAGGCAGAATAGTGAAAAATTTCGATGTCCTGGTTGGCGTCAGGCGCCAAGCGAGACGGCTAAGGGCGGATTTCATCCTAATTCGGCTAGTACTTAGTAGTTTCGACCCTACATGCCCCCAACATATATAAAATGGGTTCTAAACCTATTTCATAGGGGTTAGACATTATTGGGGAGGAAAAACGACGGGAACGCTTAGAAGTAATGAATCGCAAGAGTTTTTCTCTTCCATTCTTCCTTAATTTGTATCTTAATGCTTTCAATTATTATCATGATTGTTAGTATGGTTATGAGTAGCTAAACCTTCCCATCTAGGGTTTGATGAAACCTCTTGAACGATGACTTTTCCACATCGGTTAATATTAATTTACCATTTACTTTTCTCTACTTGTTCAACTATCTGTTTATTGTGGTTGATTAAATGACTCTCAATTGATTGGGCCTATTTAGTGTGTATTGCTTGAAAATGGTGTATATTTAGGTAGTTGTTGACCAACATCACTCCTAACGTATATGGGGAGTTAATATGAAGGATTTAAAGGTGGGAATAGGAATAACGAAATATTAATGCGATCTTAGTGAGTGGTAAACTAGTGCCAACTAGCGTAGTTCGAAAGAATATGTCTAGTAAATTATTGTGTTTGCTCGGAAGAGAATTACGACACCCAAAGTGCTCACGATCGGTAGAGAATATCTAGGCAAATTTATATGAGATGTGGCAGGGAGGATTCAGATGAGAGGGGGAATCGTAACCCTAGACCTTTCCAATCTTGTCTACAACTTTTTAATTAACTTTCCTTTAGTTAGTAAACACTCAAACCATTATTTAATATTTCTAAAGGTTGATTCCTTGAATTCATGCGAATCTAGTGGTTATAATTAGTAGCTTAATTTCCCGTGGGATTCGACTCCAAACTTGTGAACCGGATTATATTTGCAACGATCGGTAGAACTCTTAGGAAGCATAGTTAGGCGTGACCAAATTTTGGGCATATTAGAATACCAACATAAATGTCACTTTTTAAATTTAGAAAATAATTATGAACGGGAATGATATCAGAAGATGCACAATGTAAAGAGTAAAAAAAATAAATTAAATCAACCTACTACATCAATACTGCTCAATTATTGCATTGCATTGTAATAATCCTTTAGATGGAGGAAAGGGGAAAATCAAGATAAGGGAAGGAGATGAAAGTTCAGAAATCTGGAAAGAGGAGTAATTATGGAAAAGTTCATAAATGTGTTATGAAAATATTTATTGTCCTGCTCCTAACCATGGCTAGAACCTTATTTTTACTAATTAAATCTAAACCAATAGTTTTAAGATATGACAAGTGTCTCCGGTCCAAGTAAGAACTTAAAAATGGAAAGGAAGGAAATGGAAAGGAGTTCCATCCGATTATTAGTAACTTTACTATACCCCTAATATTATCATACAAAAAATAATGATAAAACTTTATTAATTAAAAAGGTTGATTAAAATGCGCCCCCAATAATCTTTTATTAATATTCTTTAATATTTTGTGCAATTTGCTTTAATAAACTTTTCTTTTAGTTATACTAACATCCAATAATTAACCTCTAACACTCATGGGAGTGTGTTTAGATCCCGTTTGGCCATGCTGTCAAAAATTGCTTATTTTGAAAAATATTTATGTGCTGTTTGAAATAGTAAAGGGCAGTCTGGTGCACTAAGCTCCCGCTATGTGCAGCGTCCGAGGAAGGGCCAGACCACAAGGGTCTATTGTACGCAGCCTTATCCTACATTTCTACAAGAGGCTATTTCAGCGGTTTGAACCCTTGACCTCCTGTTTTTTTGAAAAAGTAATTTTGCGAATATTAATTTGTGTTTGACAAATTTATTTGAATATTACTTTTTGAAAGCACAATGTGTTTAGCCATTAATTACGAAAAAAGGACAATAAACGTTTAGTTTGCAATTAGTTTTATTTTAAAAAAAGTAAATTTATATATTTATTATAAAAGAATTCAATTAAAATATACAAATAAGGTAAAAATATAAATTGAAGATTCTAATCAATATAAAATATAGATATTCCAAAGCAATGGCATTGAGTATCCGGTATTGTTTATTGCTTACATGATAATTTAAATTTATCAAAATACACCATTCAACATGAATTAAAAATCTACTTTTATGAGACTAAGGAATAGGAGAAAGAGAATAAAAATATGATTGAAATAAAAAAGAGAAAAATGGTATGGTAGAAATAAAAAGGTTAAACTAATGAGGAATAATTTTAAAAACATAAATTTATTGTAAGGTTATTTTTATATTGAAGAAATTAATTTTCTGCTTTTACTTCTTAGAAGAAGTTAAAATTTGTAGCTTTTCTAAAAGTAGAAAAACTATTTTTGCTCAACAGTACTTTTAATTTGAGTCAAATACCTTAAATTTTTCCAAAATGCTTTTTTGACCAAAAAGTACTTTTAGTTTCTAAAGATTGGCCAAACATGCTCTTAATTAGTGGACGTTTGGATATAAGAATTGCAAAACTTCCGAAAAAAGTGAATTTTGTTTTCAAGTAAAAATGACATTTGAAAATTAGAGCCCGTTTGGACATAAGAAAATTTTTCACTTTTTTTTCTTTTCAAAATTAGTGTTTGGCCACTAAATTTTCAATGTTCACTTGAAGATGAATTTTGAATTTTTTCGAAAATTTAAAAAACTCCAAAAAGCTATTTTTCAAAATTTTCACTCAGAAAAATTCAAAAAAACCTAAAATTAATTCATGTTCAAACACAATCTAATTTTCAAATACCATTTCACTTGAAAAAAATCACTTTTTATTGGAATTTTACAAGTCCAAACGCCCACTTAGAGTTGTGTTTATGCATGAATATAATTTTGGGCCGTTTTTTGAATTTTTGTGAGTGATTTGAAATGAAAATTTTGAAAAATAGTCTTTTAGAGTTTTTCAAATTTTAAAAAATTCGAAATTCATATTCAAGTGACAATTGGAAATTTCATGGCTAAATACTTCTCGAAAAAAGTGAATTTGTTTTTTTGAAAAAAAGTACTCCCTCCGTTTTAAATTAGATGAGATACTTTTCTTTTTAGTCTGTTCCAAAATAAATGACATATTTCTAAATTTAGAAATAATTCAACTTTAAGTGCTTAATTTAACCCATTTTATTCTTAATGAGAAGTTTTTATAACCACAAAAATATCATGGTCCTACAAAGCTTTTAACCCTTAAGCTTTTAAGATCACAAATTTCAAAAGTCTTTTTTTTTTAAACTCCATGCCGAGTCAAACTAACTCATCTAAATTGAAACGGAGGGATTAATATTTTTTGGCCAAACGGGCACTTAGAGTTTAAACTTTATAATTGAAAATCCAAGTAGTGCCTCCGTTCCAATTTATGTGAATTTGTTTGACTGCGCACAAAATTTAAGGAAAAGTAAAGATTTTTTTGAATTTGTAATTCTAAACAAGTCAAAAAGGAGCTCAAAGTATTTTTGTGATTATAAAAATTTAATAAAATTATAAGTTTAAGCTAAATTATTAACAAATTTAGAAAGACTTTATTCTTGAATATTACTACTTATGCTTTTATATACAGTGAACGAGCCAATTGACTAGTAAAACAAGCCGAACGCCGGAGATGTCGACGACGCCAATGATGCCGCCGATGGGGAACCCAAACTTTGACGGAGGTGCACCGCCACAGCCGCCGCAGCCGGGGACTGACATGACAGGAATATGCTTCAGGGATCAGTTATGGCTGAATACATATCCGCTGGATCGTAACCTAGTATTTGACTACTTTGCCCTTTCTCCTTTCTATGACTGGACTTGCAACAATGAGCAACTCCGATCACGCGCCATTCACCCGCTCGATATTTCTCATTTATCGTATGATTTTTATCTCTGAATCTTTTGCATCTGTTCAATTTTATTCCTTTTTCTTTAAAATTTCATTCCCCCCCTCCCCCAAATTAATGGTCCCATTAACCTGAACAATCAGTCACAAATTACCTCTAGTTTTATGCACAACTAATTTACAGTGCAATTGACCTATTATTTGCTAGAGTTTAAGTTCTATGCACTAATGCTGTAAAAATATACTTACAATCAGGTCATTTATAAGGTAGTTGCTAGTAAATCTTTGTTATAATCATTACTTGTTAACCTGATAAAAATTGTAGCTAATCTATCATTACAGGGTAAAGATTATTTAACAGTGCATATAATTAAATCATTCGGTAATTGATGTGCAGGAAAATGACGGGCAGTGAATACACGCTGAGTGAAGTTATGGAGCCACATCTCTTTGTCATCCGTAAGCAAAAGAGGGATAGTCCCGAGAAGGTAACGCCAATGCTGACTTATTATATATTGGATGGTTCAATATACCAAGCTCCACAGCTCTGCAATGTGTTTGCAGGTCGACTGGTTAGTAATCTCCTCTTGTTGCACCTTGGTACAAAGTGTATTTTTATAGGTAGTAATTGTTTTTCACTGTATGCATCTTGCATTCTTGTTAGCCATCACTACAATATTCAATTGATTAAAATTTAACTGAGATTCATATGCGTGTGCCCAATGGCGGAGTCAGGAATTTCACTAAGGGGTGCCAAAATATAAAGAAGTAAACACACGAAGAAGTTAACGGGATTCCACATATAGTATATATACGTAAAAATAAAAAAATTCCTAGCTACACTGTTGAAGACATAATTAAGTAAATAAAAGTGTTTATCTCTAACAGCTTAAGCTTTTAGATGGGATGGTTACACACTTCAACATACACAATATAATTGTCACCCCTTAGCTTAAGGTGTCTCCTCCGTTGTATGTGCCTGTGTGGTATATTGACCAATAGGGATGTCCGCTGATCAGTGTTTTTGCCATCTAGGCACCTAAACTTAACTGAATACTTAATGGTGGATAGAGTTAAATTAAGAAATTTAAATTTTATCCAAGAAAAAAGAATAAAAAAAGGGGAACATACTTAAAAGTAGGTGGCAACACTGGGAGGAAAGTACTGAATGGAAGTAGATTGGAACAAGGGCCGTATTCAGCCACACGAAAAGCTGTGCACAGTGAATAAATGAGCTATTTTGACTGTAGTTGTATTCTAGCTGAGATCACTTATGTTATTTTTTAAACTTTGTTTCTGTTTTGCCCTCTGGTACCAAATGTTGCAAAATATATCATATACGACAGAGTTTCATTCCTATTTGTTGACTGTAGTGTAAGTGCATTTTTGGACTCATTAAAGGCATTTCCATAAATTGGCATGGGATGTGTAGGGATTTCTTGGTAGTCGAAATGCTTGGGGAGTTCTCTGTAGGATAAATATGCAGTTAAGTGCATCTTAAAGATCTCATTTTCATCCAGTCTTTCTTTGACGGTGCAGTTTAATAGGTGATATTAAGGTGGTTAGCTTGGACAGTGGATAGGGCAGTAAGTGCTTTCGAGGAATCTGAAAGAATATAAGAAGAAAGAAAAATGGCGGAGATACCATGAATTCCACCTAGAAATTAACATAGACATAAGAATCCCTAGAGGAGGTGGTAATGGTAATCTGTGCAGAGGTTTTCATTGTTTTATGACAATCAGTATTGAGTGTGAGCACCTAATTTTTGACTATATTTGAGTTTTTACCACTTTTTAGTATTTAAATTGTTTTGAGTTTAATCTTTATATTTTAGCTGTTGTTTCACCTTCTTATATGTTTTATGTGAGAAAATTGAAAACCAACAAAATGATTCACATTTTTAGAGTATTAAATTTCGTTATAATTTGCAAAAGAAAAGAAAACTCACAAAAATATGCTTTCTCTTAACTTTATTAAGTTAGTGATTTTGAATTATTTTTAATAATTTTTAGATTAGAAGTAGGCAAGTATTATTTTTATTTCTTGTTATTTTAATTAGGGAAAATGCATAAGTACCCCTTAACCTATGACCGAAGTTCCAACTTCCAACTATACACTTTTCCTTTTCGGGGGGAGGGGGGTCCTATTACCCCCCTTAAACTATTTTAAAATGAAATTATTACCTCCCTAAATGCTTACGTGCCAAAGTGAGTGTATTTCACTCTCTTTAAGAGAGTGAGCAACAAAAACAAATACTAAATTTTTATTTTTAATATGCCTTTTATTAAATATATACAACTTTTTAGTTTTTCTTTTCTTTTTTATTTCTCTCTTTTTTAATTTTTTTTCTTCCTCCACCCAACTAGCAACATAGCCGATGCCACCACCGCGTCACAACCCCCAAATTTCTTTGCCACAGAAACCCTAGTTTATACTCTCCACCCTCTTATTTTCCTAAATCCATAGCTGCATCCCCCATCTTCCCAACTCCCCAGCAGCTCTCGTCTCTCTCTCTCTCTCTCTCTTATTGGGTCTGCCGTCGCCGCCGCCCCGACGACTTGGCTGGCCGGCGACCACGACCTCTCTCTCTCTCATCTATCTCCCTCAGTGTAACTAGCTTTTTAAGAAGACAAATTGTTTAAACGACTCAGTAATTCAGTTTCATTCTAAATAATTTGAGAAGTAAACAAATCTGTGAAGGATTCGGGGTTGTAGAAAATTTTCCTATTATCGGCCCATAAATTTGCAAGAAAATTAACCAGGTTGTGAAGGAAGTCCCTCGCCGGAAAGTTTTCCTACCATCCAAATCCATTTTTTGCGGCCAAAATTTGCAAAACTTTAAGCAACGGCCAGCGGGTCCATTATATTAACATCAGATCCCACCATTTATGATTATATTCTTCTTGCATAACCACAAACTAAACAATAATTTCAGATTTGATAAATAAAAAAGAAAAAGGACAGAAAAAAGGAAATCTGAAAAGAATTTTGTGGGATGGGGGTGGTCACGTTTTGGGAAGAAGGTACGCAATTGGAGGAAGAGAAAGGAAAGAAAAAGAAAGAAAAAAAGAAAAAAATAATAAAACAAAAAACAAGGGAAAGAATAAGAAAAGATTAAAAAAATTCCTAATTAAATGTACCTGGCGCGTGGCTTCAACGACCAACATATGATGTGGTTGTGACCTTTCAAGGGTGTAACAATTCTGTTTTAAAATAGTTCAGGGGAGTAATATGACCCCCGAAAAGGAAAAGTGTGTAGTTAGGATTTCGGTCATAGGTTGGGGTGTACTTATGCATTTTCCCTTTTAATTAAATAGGAGTAGTATTTTTATTTTGTCTATTTATATATCCTTTGGAAAAGAAAATCAAAAACAAAAAGATTCGGATAATGCTCCGTACCTAGGTAATGCTCATATTGACCCTTTGGATATTCAAATCCGAGAAAAACATGGTTATTGCAATGCAATTGAAATAGATCCGGATGGGAAATCGTGGTATCATGATATTAAAAGGTTTCTGAAAACGAAAGAATATCCCGAACAAGCAAGTGGGGATCAAAAGAGAACTATTTGAACGCTTGCCAGCAGTTTCTTCTTGAGTGGAGAAATCTTTTAAAAAAGCACTCCGGATTTGAATCTGTTGAGATGTGTAGACTCTCGACAAGCTGAGAAAATCATGAAAGAAGTGCATTCTGGAGTATGTGGCCCCCACATACACAGGTACGTTCTTGCAAAGAAAATACTCCGAGTAGGTTATTATTGGATGACCATGGAAAAAGATTATTTCAGTTTTTTTTCGCAAGTGTCATCAGTGTCAAATACACAGTGTTTTGATTCACTCGCCGCCTTCGGAGTTGCATCCTATGTCAGCACCTTGGCCATTCGTTGCTTGGGGCATGGATGTTATTGGGCCAATCGAGCCAAAGGCTTCAAATGGGCACAAATTTATCTTGGTTGCCATTGATTACTTTACAAAATGGGTTGAAGCTGTTACTTTCAAAGCCGCCACTAAGAAAGCAGTGGTGGCCTTCGTGCATTCTAACATCGTTTGCTGGTTTGGTATTCCTAATCATCATTACGGACAATGCTGCAAATCTGAACGATCACTTGATGAGGGAGGTATGCGAGCAATTTAAAATTACACATTGCAACTCTACCCCTTATCAACCCAAAGCCAATGGCGCCGTTGAAGCTGTAAACAAGAATATCAAGAAGATTCTCAGAAAAATGGTCCAGAGTTCTAGGCAGTGGCATAAAAAGTTGCCTTTTGCATTATTGGGATATTGCACAACTTAGCGCACATCAGTTGGGGTTACTCCCTACCTTTTGGTTTATGGCACTAAAGCTGTAATACCTGCAGAAGTTGATATTCCTTCTCTTCGGATCATTGTTGAAGCTGAGATCGAGGATGAAGAATGGGTCAAAATCCGGTTGGAACAATTGACTATGATTGATGAAAAGCAATTGGCTGCAGTTTGCCACGGGCAGTTGTACCAACAAAGAATGACCCGTGCCTACAAGAAGAAGTGCAACCCAGGAAATTTGAAGTGGGGCAACTCGTTCTGAGACGTATTCTCCCGCATCATGAAGAAGCTAAAGGAAAATTTGCTCAAAATTGGAAAGGTCCATACATTGTACGTGAGAGACATCGAAGGAAATGTCCCCGAGACAATTGTCAAAGTGGATGCAGTCAAAAAGTATTATGTTTGACCCATTACTCGGTATTAACATTCTCTGATTGGGATGACAAATTATTCTCGCTACCCAAACACTATTAACCCCTTGCAAACCCTTTGAGCCAGATATCTTTTTCTTGATCACCCTCTTTGGAACCTTGTATGTAAAAAGAAAGAAAAGAGAAAAAGAATAAACAAAAAAAAAAGAAAAAGAAAAAGAAGAAAAAAGAAAAGAAAAACAAAAACAAGAACAAATCAAAAACAAAGTTCATGTAATTGAATTATGTCGACCTGATTCCGAAAGGATACGTAGGCAGCCTAACTTGGAGGTTCGGTCACACCAAACAAAAATTCACATTCCCTCCAAAAGTTGAAACTGGGGCAGCAGTTATGACGTTTTGGCGATGATTTCGTCTGTAGCATTTATTCATATTGTTGCTTTGTGAGACAATCAGCCGGTCCCTATCTGACTTCTGAAGTTTTTGAAGGCTGTTTGACTTGAATTTTCTTTCGCAGCCTTGCATTTCATATTCTATAAGTTGCTCGTTTCTCATAATTAATAAGGTTGTGAACACCGGCATCATTGCATGTCTCAATGATAGTTTTCATTTAGCTGAATATTAAAGAGAGGATTCAAATATACATGTGGATTTTATTTCAAATTTGTTAAACTAAGTTAAGTACTATGTAACCCCTCCATCCAGAAAATGTGAGTTACTGTCCTTTTGGTTCATTCCAAAATTTGAACTTTTGCTAAAGTTTTGTTGTTATATAACTTGATATTTTGTATTTCTGCTTGTTCAAAGATTTTCTTTACTTGCAAATGCAATACTAGAGAATTTAGCTGTATTTGATGCTTTTCATGTTGAAAATTAACCTCTTTTGTCTTGATTCACTTATTTGACAGGGACGTGCTTTATATCATATATCCAAAGCTTTCAGTTCTGCAGCTTCAAAGTTGGAAAAGACCGGATATGGTATCTTGACATCCCTTTTCCCCCCTTTCTTGTGCTTCTCTTTCTTATTGTGTTTTCTTGGGTGTGCTTCCCTGGGGCTTGTTTTGGGGTGGGGGTGGGACCAGGGACTTCTCTAACGAGAACCTGATGCTGCCAATATCAAAAAGATTGGCTGGAGCAATGTTATTGGTGGTTTTGTTTTATCGACCCTATTGTGTGTTCAAGATAGTCAACTCACTTAAATATCTTCTGGTGAATGTAGAGTTGCTGAATTCCTTTTTTCCATTTCCGTTTGTCGTATTCTACTTGTGTTTGTTTTGGTCGATTGTTCAATAATAATTGAATACAACAGTCTTTGCTTTTGGAGATGGACTGAAATGATATGTATCACCCGAAAATTATGATGTCAGGTGCTATTATATCATGTGGTGTAATTACTCTTCATATTTCATAATGTCCATCCAATTTTAGACTACATAGGTCACTTAGTTCTAGTTTGACGCTTTGTGATTTTCAGGCTATTTGCTTGTTCAGTTATCTCCATGACTCTACTTTCCAATTTTGAAGAACATCCCCTAGTGTAAATTGGCCCAAATTTGTTGGTGAACACTAAAATGGATGAGAGAAGACCCTATAAGGCTTAAACTCTTGTCAAAAGACGCCCTATGTAACATCAGGAGGTGTTCTTATATTCTTCGATATGACTGAGGAACAGGATCTGTAACAACCTGTGTAATTTAGATGAGATAAGTTTTTAATTGATGTGATTAAAGACAAACTTAGGCACATGATGCTCTACTCCCATTCTTGATTTTGGTGCATGGAAATGTTAATGTCTGGGCAAAATATAAATTATTTGAAGTTATGTGCTCTTTGCCATGGTGATGTTTGTGACCATTAGAAACTAAACAAAGTATGTTCTGACCTCCTCCTTCCTGAAGACCCAAAAGCAAAAAATGAACAATGGATAGCATTGAGACCTGATTTTTTGTTACAAGTGCTTTGGTTCCTTGCAAGGAATTGCATTCTTGATTGCCACGCATTGCCATTTACTTTCTTCCTGAAGAGCTGGGATCGGACCTCTGTGTATATATTTTAATTCATGGTTATGTTTTGACTAGAATAGTTGAAGTTTGATTTGAATCTCTCCATCAAGATGTCAAATCTTATGCGTAGATTGTTCAGGTCAATGATTTATCATGCTCTTCTTTACATTTAAGTATATTGTTTTAATATTCTATATTTTCATTTCGTTCTGTGCGCTTTGCTTTCACAGTGGCTTCTGAAAATGAGAGTGCAACATCTGAACCTACTAAGCCTGCTAAGGAGCCCATTGACTTCAAGGAACTTAAGCGAGTTGATCATATCCTTGCTTCCCTACAACGAAAGGTAACTGTGATGTCTTAAAAAGTGTAGTCTGTCTGGATGGTGCTTTTGACCTCAGTTGTCATTACCTCTTAGCTCAGGTACTTATCTAGGCTATGAAGTTATTATTATGGAATCTAATATTTCATTGAAGGTTAAGGTTTTATGGTGCATAGTTTTCTGCTACATTTGTCATCAAGTAAAAATAAAAAGCGTCTAAAACTGACAAACTTGATCTTTTTGCAGCTACCACCAGTACCTCCACCCCCACCATTTCCGGAAGGCTATGCACCACCTTCCACGGCAGAAGCCTCGGAAAACCAGCAAGCAGAGACTCAGTTACCTACAGTTGATCCCATCATCGACCAAGGTCCGTCTAAGCGAATGAAAGTATGAAACGTCTAAGCAGTTGGTGGCTGCAAGAATTTGTACAATGCTCCAGATGGTTCTGGGTGATCCATAACTAAATATTTCCTGCACCCAGTGACTGCAAGTGTTAAATCTACGATGCTTGAGATGGTCTAGAGTGATCCTTAACTTGATAATAGATTTTTCTGTATACTATGTAAAGTATTAAATCTCTATGTTAGTCAGAACTTTACATGTAGATCCGTATCAAGGTTATAGTTCACCCGTAGGCTGTATGGCCATGTAATGCTGTTACATTAGTTTCCAATAGTGAATTTTATCTTAGATTTCGCATTTTGGAACACACTTATTGGCTCAAATATTTTAACAAATGGTTTCTTCATTTGGAAATTGGAATGTTTTTCAGGGTTGAATTTGCGGAAAACAAATTATTATTTAATGGAAAGATTGATAAAGCAGACTTTTATTCCATTGGTTGGAGAAGCAGTGCCAGGAGATTATATAAAATAAAAATGTGTCTGGATGTACTTTCTTGAATTTTTATGTGTTTATTTTGTTAAGCAACCACCTTCGTAGAAAACCTCTTGTTACACTTTACTTTGGAAACTTGAAATAACGCAATCAAAATCTGACTCTTACAAGTAGTGCTAAATCGATCAAAAAACTATAGAAGAACACAAAACCAGCAGATTCCTAGGCTGCATTTCTCCAATTTTTACAGGAAAATGACATTAAATAGGTATAGATTTGTTGTGACATGCTATCTTAGGTGGGATACATGAATGCATGGTTCTTTGCATATGCCACCATTATCCCATCCTCTGGTCATGGGTAGTTAACGACCCTAAAAATATTATACAATCAAATTACTGTTATGACGTAGCTCTGGTATGGTAAAGTAATAAGTACTAGCTAACTTGTTATCATTAGTTAAAATATACCCAAGATTGTAAATAAAATTTTTACACCGATAGAATAATAAAATACAACTATATAACTTAAATCTGTAAAATAAAGGACGACCTACATACTAATAAACCAATGAAAATTGCTAAATCACTAGCACTGTTACGCCATTTGGAACACACTTATTGGCTCAAATACTTCAACAATTGCTTTCTTCATTTGGAAGTTGGAATGAATATCAGGGTTGAATTTGAGGAAAATAAACTATATTTAATGAAAATATTGAGGCAGACGTTTATTCCATTTGATTGAGATTTAGTGGCAGGAGACTATATAGAACAAAAATGTGTCTGGATGTGCTTTTCCTTAATTTTTATGTGTGTTTATTTTATATAGTAAACAATCACCTTTCTAGAAAACCTTTTGTTACACTTCCTGAAAAACTTGAAATAAACGCAATCCTAACAAATAATGGTGCCTCGGCTAATATGTAGTTGTGGCACAACCATTTCACTATGAGGTTAATGAGCTTACCAATTCCTGCCACTGGACAGTTTGAAGCTACTCTTCCTATCCTCCATCTCAACCACTAAAAACTCCAAATTTCCTCCCTTAGCTAGATTTAGTTGAAACTTGAAAAAAAAAAAAAGAGTTTTCGAAGATGAGATGAAAAATAGTTTTTGAAAGTCGAAATTGTGCTTGGACATGCATTTTACTTTTAAACAAATAGAAGTTTTCTGATCAGAAAACTTCAAAAACTACTCTAGAGTTATTTTTGGGATTTGAAGATTTTATTTTCAAAATCTGCCAAAAAAAAAGATTAAAATCTATAAACAAACAAATATTTGAAAACAAAATTTGAAAAAACTCCCAAATTTTATAGCCCTTTCATGTGTCATCGCAGGCGAGAAATCAAAATCTGACACTTTCAAGTAGTGCTAAAGCAGCCAAACAACTATCCCAGGCTTTTGTCTAGTTAACGGTCTTAAAATATTTATACAATCAAATTACTATTAGGAATTACAGATAAATTTTTTCACAATCATTATTTCTTAATTTAATCTGGTAAAAGTAATAAGTACTAGCAAACTTATTATCATGAAGTTAAAATACACCATAGTGTAAATAAAATCTTTACACTACGTATATAACTTAAATCCGTAAAATAAAGGACGGCCTACATACTAATACCAATGAAAATTGCTAAATCACTAGCATTGTCACGCCATTAAAATACTGTAGCATGCCAGAGCTAAGGTCCTTCATCAACTCGGTAGGGGATATATTATATTACAAGTTGTGTTCATTTTAGAATTTACCTTTATATGGTTCCTTAATCATAATTTTCATCGACGGAGATGAATTTTTCTCAATTTTTATTTTATGCAAAATATATGTATAGTTGATATATTTTGATTATAAAATCTAGTTTTATGACGTTGTTGTAATAGATCTTTAGTTAGATTACCATCCGATGAAATTAACCTTCTTGAGGTAATGCTAGGGACAATAAAAAATCAAGAAATAAAATATCTAGAAATGTCTAGAAAATGATGAATACACAATATAGTTAAAGTAACTTTTAGAGCAAAATGGGAAATAGCAAATTCTAACAGAGAAAATGTCTCATGCTGCTTGTTATTTTTCAAAAAAAAGAAAAAGGAAAGGAAAAAACACCAGTGCCAATTTGGCCCTAGAAGATACAAATGCAATCACCAAATACAACAAAATTCAATTTTGCAATAATCAATTTTAAAGAGGGAATTAATTTAATAGCCCTGGTCAACAAGGTAGTCACCAATTTTCTCAACCACCATATTGCACTGTCCTGGAGTCACTGGTTCCTCATAGATACCAAAAATCAGAGCCTGGTTAGTTTTCTTGATGGTTATTCCACCAGATCCCTACACAAAAACAATTTTACAATTATTCAAAACTAGAAATATATATTAAGTCCAAACACATTGTCGCAACTCAAAAAGAAGTTCACAAGATTTAAGCACCTAGACAAAAGGTATTTTTTCGAATAACAAAATGCACAAATTCATGGATCTTTCATTTGCTTTGCCATAATCATGTCAAACAAGTGGGCATGTTTTAGAGAACGTATACATACACTAAAAATTAGCGAAAAAGCTGTACGTACGTTCGTTATTCCATGTCACATAGTTCTCAACCACATGCAAAGATCATCGTTATATTTAATTGCAATAAACGATACACAAGATTAGAGGTGTTCAATTGGGTAGGTTGAGTTAGATTTTGAATGGGTCAAAATGGGCTGAGTTAATAAATGGGCGGATCATCATTGCCCGCCAAAAAATTAATTGGACTGGGTCAAGATGAGCTAATTTTTGGATCATCGCTCAATCCACCCAACTCTTATCAAACTTGAATAATGTGTGTTATTTTTTATGGATTGTTTATTTATCAAATAAAACTTTTTTTCTTTTATTATGGTCATATATAATATATGAAACAAAAAAAAAGAATTATTTTAAAGATATTTTAACAAAGTTATTTATGGATCAATTTAGGCTAAAAATCAGCCAACTTTAGATGAGCTGCGTCAAGATGGATTGAGATCAACATATGAGTGTGTCAATAACCGGCCCAATCTTATACAAGTTGGGCAGGTCAAATGGATTTGGACTCAAATTGTCATCCCTACACAAGATTTACAAACGAAATAGTTGTTGGAATAACAATGGAAAAATTAAATATTACTAAAAAAATATTCATGATCAGATACACGAATTGGTTTGAGTCGTGCTATGCACTTTCCTGAGTAGAGAACGATGACGATTACCTTCTTCCCACGAATGACAGCGCCAGGTTCTCCTTGGATTACCATGTATTTTGCCCCGGCAAGGAATAAACCAGTTGGAGCTAGATGTCCAGGTTCATCAAAATCTTTCATGATATTAGTAATTTCCTCTGGTTTAAACTGGACACACATAAAAAAATTAATCCACTTGATAAAAGATCATATTATATGAAATAAATGTAAAATAAGATTCTATGTTCGTATATGTCCATTGAATTTCATTAGAAATAAAGATCAAATCTTACTTCTTATAGAAAACTTCACGATCATTAACAGATCTAGCTAAAAATGAAAGAAATTAATCAAAAAAAAAAAAAAAAAAAAAAAAAAAAAAAAAAAAAAAAAAAAAAAAAAAAAAAAAACAACAACAACACAAAAAACATGAATAAAGTTTTTAAAAAATATGGACAGGTAAATTCCAATCCATATTGACCTGAATCTCAATGACAATTAATGAATGAAAATTGACAATTGAAAGAACTTGTGTGATTCAAAAGTTCATTTATTTATCATCAGAATGCTTTTCCTTTATTTTCATATTAAACTTTTTATTTTTATAATCGAACTCTTTATCAATATTATGAAGTGATTGTAACACAATATATTTAAGACTTGTGATATGAGGTGATGGAATCCAACATATAAATTTACTTCTTGGTTTATTAGAGAAACAGATCCATACCAAAATTAGTGATTGATCCAGAATTTATACATTACGTATTTTGAGTTGAAAGAGTAAGTTCTGAAATGTATATCCGTATAATGCATATAAAACTCGTCCACAAACCTCAATTGCCTAACCAAAAAAATCTATCGTTGGATCCGCCACTAACCAAAACACATGACATTAGATGAGAACAAAGGGAAAAAGAAATGAAAAAAAAACGAACAGATCCAAGGATATTTGTCGAGAAAATTTGTCGTGAAAATGTCACGAACCTTAGGGAAAGTGGTACTCTGAGCCCAGACACTGCCATCATTTCCAAGGATAGCTGCAGCAGCGAGATGGTTACCTTGCTGACCTTCAATGTCAGCCATCAAATGATCATCCACATATGTTTGCCACGACATTTTAATTAAGTTGTTGTCTTTGTCTTTGTCTTTTGTTTTCTCCTTGTTCAAATCACTCAGTTTTAATATTTCATTGGAATGGAGAGAACACGAGAGTGAGTATAAATAGGAAGAGAGAATGGTGGGTGAAACAATAGGAACCGTGGATTGGACGTGATTACATGAGTGCCATTCACGTTCTGATTAATTCTGATGCTTATTGCCATCATTTCTGTTTTGTTCGTTGAAGTTGTGGAGATTTGGTCACCACTGGCTTTGTCATGTGCCACAATTGAGATGCATCATTATTCACCAGCCACGTCATCACATCTCCATGCTTCCATAAAAAATAAAAAAAAAGACATTCCTCATTTTTTTAATTAAATAACTCCTTTTACCCATTTTTTATAGTTTGTCTTTTGTAATGATGCACATTTCGATTATTCAGTCGTATATTTTACGCGACACAACAAATATATAAATCATTTATCATTCATAGCTAGGGTTTCAGAAACTATCATTCGTTGTTAAATTTGAATTTTATAGCAAATCTACCTAAAAG